GGTGCACGCACGTGGGGTGTACAGACGTGGGGTGCACACACATGGACGCAGGGCAGTGTGGGGTGCAGGGCAGCATGGGGTGAACGTGGGGTGCACGCACGTGGGGTGTACAGACGTGGGGTGCACACACATGGACGCAGGGCAGTGTGGGGTGCAGGGCAGCATGGGGTGAACGTGGGGTGCATACACGTGGAGTGTAGAGCAGCGTGGGGTGCACACACATGGACGCAGGGCAGCGTGGGGTGCAGGCACATGGGGTGCAGAGTGGTGTGGGGTGCACATAATGGGGTCCAGGGTAGCGTGGCGTGCAGGGTGATGTGGGGTGCAGAGTGGGGTGTTTGGGATGCAGCACGGGGTGCAGGGTGGTGTGGAGTGCAGGCAGCGTGGGGTGCAGGCACATGGGGCAGGCAGCTGGGGGGAACTGGGGCACAGGGCACAAAATGCCCATTCAGGGCCACTCGGCAGCAGCAGCAGCACCCAGCCCCTGCGAGTGTTACCCACGTGGGGTGCGGATCCCTTCGAGTAAACCCCTTAATTCCGAGGGGCACGAGGAGCTTTAGCTCGCCTTTAAGCAGTGGGATTTAGCTGGAGGATCCGGTGCCAGCACAGCATGGGAGCTTTCACAAGTCCCGTGCTCACAGGGAGTGGAAGCTGATGCTGCTGAGTAAGGGGGAGCGGGTTCACCCAGGGCCAGGGACCATGGGGAATGGGATAACTGGATCTGGCCAAAAGTTTCCCTAAGGGATCCAGCCACAACACCTTGGGGTAGGTCCTTCTTGGGGCTGCCACCCCTTCCTAAGACCTTTTTCCTGGGACAAAGCACCCAGTTGGTGAAGCCAGGGGTTGTGTGTGAGTCTGAAGAACGATTTAATCTGCGATGAACATCATGGCCAGGATGCCCAGGTGCTCAGGGGAGTGCAGGTCCCCTCTGCCACCCCCATGCAGGGCCATTGGGTCTGTTCAGGAGCCCCCACGCTGATGATGTCTCCCTGTCACACACCCTCTTGCTCACTGGGCTGCAGAAAAACATCCAAGGAGCTGTAGAAGGGAGCTGAGCCTTGCACCAGGGCTGGCATGGGAAGGGGATGGGGAGGTCTTCAGTGGAGAGCAGCATGTGGTACCCCTGGTCATGGCGGCATCACTCAAGAATTTGGCGCAGGTCCTGGTTTTCCTCCCCCACTCGCCCCTGCTCTTCATCTGGTGTCTTGTGCCTTCCTCCTCCTCCTCCCTCCCTTACAGCGGGGTCTTGACTCTGTTTGCAGGCCAGCCCTGTGGAAATGAAATCCATAAATCCCAGTGGCATTACAAAACATGCCTTGTGTAAGCCCTTTCAGTTCTGCTCTGGTGCTTAGCCTGGCCCTGCCACCTCCCCAAAGTCCCCATCGCAGTAATAGCCTGGCTGACATCCTCTCCTGGGCTTGGGGAAGGACCCATGCAGAGCCCCATCCTCACCCAGCTCCTGCGATCCTGTACCCAAAAAGAGTTAAGGCTGCAAGGGCTCCTCTGACTCATGGGGCTTCAGCATGCTGGGATGTGGATGTCCCCAAACCCCTTGTTTTGCTGTCCTGCTGCACCCACGAGTGGGCTCAGCACAGTCCCTGTGGCATCCCAGGGCTTCCCCCCCTTGCAGGTCCACAGCATCACCCCATGTGGGGACTGGGTTCCAGTTCCCAAAGCTCCAAGCAGGCAACCATCACTTGGGGGCATTGTAAAAATAAGTATCTGACTATTTTTTTATTTTAAAAGCTAAAAGGGGCCCCATGCTGGTTTGGGTGGCCTCACTGGGGAGGAGTTGGAGAGCCCCAGGTGGGACCAGTACCAGGAGCATCCTCTGCTGTGGACCCATCCCCACAGCCAGACCCTGCCCATGTGGCCACATTCACAGTGGGAGCTCGCCAGGCTTTTCGGGGCAGAAACCGGGGAAGAGACCTGGCCTCCTCGCCCCAGGGGAGCGGGCCGGGATGGCAGGCTGCCCACCACCTGCCTCTGCCCCTGCTCCGTGCTAATGAGCGAGTTACACAACGAGAAGCTTTTATACTTGTTAATCGGGTCCGGCATCCCAGCCCGCCCCTCCACGCACGCTCTGGCTGGCCGGTGGAGCCCCAACTCCCTCCTACCCTCTCCTCAGCTGCCTTTTGTAATGTTTTAATGGGGTTTCTTGCCTGGGTTGTGCTGAATTAATTACAAAGCTGCAGTGAGTTGATGCCTTGTGACGGTCTAATCCCAACCCGGTGACTCTACAAAGCTTTCACCCAGCTTTCTTCCTGCTCTACTCCGGCCTCATTGTCCGTGCATCCGTCTCGGCCCGTGCACTGACCCTCTGCAGACGGTTCAGCTTTTCCTCTCCCTGGTGAGTATCTGGGGCTTTTCTCACCCGAAATAACTGCATCAGAGACCACCATCCAGCCCTCCCTTAACTTGAAGACTCTAAGGCTGGGATTGCTTGGAAAAGCGGCTGGAAAAAGGGGATGCCCATTCCTTCCCTGGGAGCTGGTGGGGAAGAGGATGCTCCTGGGAAGTGATTGAGCTGCGGCCAAGAATCCCTCGCACAGCATGGGCTGACAGTTGGTGCTACAGCCGTTCAGGGGCAGGGTCGGGCACTGAAGGGAGGGTGAAGGCAGGCTTCCTCCGCCTCATGCATGGAAACAAGGTGTTTCACCCAGACTGTGTCACAAAGATGCCAAGAGGCTGGTGATCCAACCTTGTAGCTGGTGATGAGCAATGGCCTGGAGCAACAGGCATTCGAGCATTTGGGAAACACCTTGGGATAATGGGGCAGTAGAAATAAAAGGCAGCAAAAGCACGAGCTAGCTGCCCACCTGGCCAAAGCTGGGCGCTTGCCTCTGCCCATATGAGGATGGTCTGAGATGAAATGGCACTGGATGAGCGCATGGGGTTGGGGGTCCCCACGACATGCTCCCAACCACTGACGGAAAGGCAGACCTGGAAAAAAAAAGATGAAGGTTTCAGATGATCAATACCCACATTTTTAAGCTGCTTTTTCAAACATCCCTGGTGTTTCTCAAAGCTGCTCAACCTCTTGCAGGTAGGCAGACACAGGCAGTATGTGATAGAGATGGTGGTTGGGAGCCCCTGACTGAGCAAGAGGGGCAGGGGATGGGGCACTGGGGGGCTGCGGAGGCCATTGGGATCCCCACTGCTGCTGAATCCTCCCTCCCTCTCCCAGTGTCCTGTGGCTGACAGCAGACAGAAGACGACATGTCTGCAGTTGTGAGTATTGTCCCTGCACTACCCCCTCCCCAGAGCTCTGAGTATCCCCCCTGTGGCGCTGGGACGGGGTGCACCTCACACACCCCTCATCTCCCCGGCTGCTCTCCCACCCCCTCGGGTGCAGGCATGGAGGCTCTGCCCTTCCCTATAGCCCCCCATCCCAGAGGACCTGTGGTGGGGCCTGGAGTTGGGGGAATGGCTGGGGAAACCCCACATCCTCTCCTCACCCCCAGACGGGCACCTTCCGCATCGTCTCGGAGGAGGAGCAGGCCCTGCGCACCAAGCTGGAGCGCCTTACCACCAAGGACCACGGCCCCGTCTTCGGGAGGTGCGAGAAGATCCCCCCGCACACCCTGCAGAAGGTGAGGGTGGCTGCAGGGAGTTGGGGGCAGGTGCAGCTCAGGGAACCTGCTCCTTTCTGGGGGCCAGAGGAGACCTTCAATGGGCTCTTGTGTTGTGGGGGGGATGCGCAGGGTCTCTGAGCAGAGGACCTGGGTGACCCTGCCCTCCCTGCACAGTATGCTGCAGTGAGCATCACTGCACCCCACCCGCCTTTTGGGTGCCTAAATGACCCCTGGGGTGTTTTGGGGTGCACAGGGAGTCTCACTGAACCATGCCTGCTCCCCTTTTCCCCCCCAGGCAAAGGATGAGCTGAACGAGACGGAGGAGCAGAGGGAGGCGGCGGTGAAGGAGCTGCGGGAGCTGGTGCAGGAGCGGGCGGGTGGCGAGGAGGTGTGCAAGGCGGTGGCCGAAAAGGCGCAGGGGATGGACGACTCCTTCTTCCTCCGCTTCATTCGTGCCCGCAAGTTCGACATCCACAGGGCCTACGACCTGCTGAAAGGTGGGGAGGGGTCCTGTGCTGTGACAGCAGATGAGGACAGGCTTATCTGTCTCCCTGGCTTCTCCCAGCCCCATGCTGGAGCCTTCTAACCCCTCGGTCTAGGTTACAACCCCCTGTGCTGGCAGAGCAGGACCCTAGCATGGGAAGGAGATGGGGAGAGAGGATAAAGAGAAAAAGGCAAGGCTGGAGGCTCAAAAATGCAGGGGAAAGGGTTGGGATGGGGAAGGAAGTAAATGAGGGTGATGCAAGGAATCCCACAAAGCCAGGACATTCCCATTCCTTGCTAATTTACCAGACAAAATGGAAAAAAAAACCCAACCAAATGCATTTGGCGGTGGCAGGCTGCTTCATTTGTACAGCAAACCCAGCTGGTTTGGGCTGCATCCCCTCGAGAAGCCCATACCCTATGCACACCCTATACGTGCCTCTGTAACTCTGTGAGAAGCCAATCCTGCACCCACCCTGATGCTTCTGGGCACAGTGTCTGGTGGGCTCAGCACCCCTGGCACCCCTCGAGGGCTGGGAGCATGTTAGGGGGCTTGGCACCCACTCCCTGACTGGGGGTGACCTGTAGGGATGGAGGGGGAGCAGAAGGGCAGCCTGGGGGGTGGCTGCCGGCGGGGACCTGCCTGGCTCTGTCTCCACTCTTCTTTGTGTTGGTCTGGGGGATAATGAGCTGTAATTATTAGTGCTGGCTCCCAGACGAGAGGTTTTGTTCGTCTGCATTTTCCCAGGACGAGATTCCTTATTTTGTGCCGCAGGGTGCCAAGGGAGGGGAGCTGGAGGATGTCACCCAAATGGGGAGGAAAAGGAGAAGAGAAATGAGGGGAGAAATGAGTTTTATCTGCTCATTGAGGTGTTGGAAGGAAGGCAGGTGTGGGAAGACCCTGGCATGGGGAGAATAACACCGAGCATGCTGGGGCTGGGGCTGGTCTGCTGCTGAGCTCCTTTTTCCCACGTTTGCCGGAAGAGACCTGACCTGTGTGGTCCCCAGACACAGGTGGTCCGTAGCTCTTGGGCTCAGGACCAAGGTCTCACCATTGCCAGTCCATCCCATCTCTGGCGACTCCCCCAGCTCCCCAAGGCCAGGCGAGCAGCCGTTGTCCTCCCCCACTTCTGCCTTTCTCCAGGCTACGTGAACTTCCGCCAGCTGTACCCCGAGCTCTTCGACAACCTGTCCCCCGAGGCTGTGCGCAGCACCATCGAAGCTGGCTACCCCGGCATCCTGGCCAGCAGAGACAAGTACGGCCGGGTGGTGATGCTCTTCAACATCGAGAACTGGGATTACGAGGAGATCACCTTCGACGAGGTCAGACCAGCTCCGCTGTTGTTCCCAGAGCACTGTGATCCCACTCCTGGGCTTGTCCTGCTTGGCACGTCTGAGCGCAGCACCCCTTCCACTCACATATGCATATGTCCACACAGTCTCCAGTTGTTCAAGTTGAAGCAAATCTTCAGCCCTTGGAATTTATCCTTCCAGGGAGCCTGAGAGAGCATGACCCATCCCAAAGTGTTCCCCTTCCTTCCCCGTGATGCAGTGCAAACTGCAAACCAAATTTGTGTGTGCATCCCCCAGCCCAGGTAACACAAGGTGAAGAAAGGCACCACGCTATTAAATCCAGGTGCTCTAGAAAGGAGGAACCTTCAGGGGAGAAGAGGAAACAGGCATAGGGCACAGAAAGGGCTTCTTGGTGAAGAGGTCTCCAAGCATGTAACTCACAAGTTATCCAAGTTCTGTTTTCTGCTCATGCCTGAATTTGGTGGCAACATATCCTTGGTCCAGATCTGAGATGTGCCCACCTTTGCCTAGCTTGAAAGGGGAATGTGGTGGTTATTGAGCATCCCCCGACATGCCCTCCCTGCTCTGAAGTCCTGGGGCTGGCTCTGGCAAGCTCCCATGGGACTCTTCCTGGGAATCTCCTGGGGTCTATGGGAGGTGAGACCTAATACCAGACCCTGCTGTCTCTTCCCCATCAGATCCTTCGTGCCTATTGTGTTATCTTGGAGAAGCTGCTGGAAAATGATGAGACCCAAATCAATGGGTTCTGCATCATTGAGAACTTCAAGGGCTTCACCATGCAGCAGGCATCAGGGATCAAACCCTCTGAGCTCAAGAAGATGGTGGACATGCTGCAGGTGAGGTGGCAAAGCCTGTGCCCAGCAGTGGCAGGGCAGGCCCTGGGGGAGCAGAGAGCTCAGGGAAAGATGAAGGCAGGGCTAGCAGGGTTTGGGATTGCCACCATACTGCCACCGTAAGAAATCATTGTGGAGAGGCCATTCCCTGGCACATGCTCCTGCCCTTGCCAGCTAATTGGCTGAATCCTGCAAGATGGATTCTATTTTTCTAGCCCCAGTTTCCTGCCCTCTCAAATGGCCAACCAGAAGCAGTACCACCACTCCTTGCAGCATCCTACAGCATGGCTGGAGGCCTTTCCTCGCTACTCTCTCAGCTACTCTCTCCAGGAGTTCTGCCCTTAGAGGACAAAGACACTCATCTCTCCCCAGGGAAGGAGGACAGCAGTGAAAGGGTCTTTCTTATGGAGTGGGAGCAATGAACCATCTGTGAGGCTCATCAGCTTCCCTGGTGCTCCTGGGGTTGGGACAGCCGATCCTCTGGGTCAGAGCAAAAAAGGGGCTATCAAAGAGAGAAGGGGAGATGGGGTGAGGGGAGCTGTGACAGTGCCAGGGTGTCCACTGCTCCCTGCCTGGCTCCGCATTGCCAGCACCCTTTGTAACCATCTGTGTCTGGGTTTGGGATCCTAGGACTCCTTCCCAGCGCGGTTCAAGGCCGTCCACTTCATCCACCAGCCCTGGTACTTCACGACCACCTACAACGTGGTCAAACCGTTCCTGAAGAGCAAACTGCTGGAGAGGGTGAGTGTGGGAAAGGGACCTGGAGGCAGAGGTGCGTCCCTGGGGGAAACAGTGGCTGGGAAGGGTTGCCCAGGTCCTCTGCTGAGGGTCATTCTCATGTCCCACCAGGTCTTTGTGCACGGGGAGGAGCTGGAGTCCTTCTACCAGGAGATTGATGCTGACATCTTGCCAGCAGACTTTGGTGGCACCCTGCCCAAGTACGATGGCAAAGTAACTGCAGAGAAGCTCTTTGGGCCCCGCATCGAGGCTGAAGACACGGCTCTCTAAACCGGAGTCTGCTCCCCATCCCCTGTAAAAAATAGGATCAGAGGTGGCCCTCTAACCCCAACCACCTCCTTACTGTAGCATTGGTTGAATGACTGCTCATGATGAGGCGCTCTGGGTGTGTTGCTCTGTGCCTGTCCCCCCCCTCCCCAAACCTGGCAGCGGGCTGCCTGGCAGCCCTGTCCCTCCAGAGCAGAGCATTCTTCCCTTGGGAGCCAGCAGAGAAAGGAGGCCACGAGCCCTCTCCGGCAGCATGCCCTGAAGCTGAGGTGGGAGGACAAGGAGAGTGTCTGCTCTGGGAAGGGAGGGCTACAGCAAGGGGAAAATAAAGTGTTTAACAGCAGAGCTCTGGGGTTCCACGTGACAAGGAATGGAGGTGCAGCTTTTTGGGCCCTGGCTGTGCTGCTGGTTCTAAGGAGGTCAGGAATGTCCGTGCTGTCCCCTCATCGCTGACTGCCCTTTGGCACAGGGACCAAGGAACCAGACACCACCATCCTCCCTCCATATCAGAACAAGCCCCACCCCGGCTGGGCAAGGACCCCCAATTCCCAGTCATCTGCTCTAATCAGCAAAGAGAAAACAGCCCAAAAGATACTAACAAGAACCCAATCAGGGCCCCATGTGGAGCTGGCTCTGCCCAATTCCTGCTCAGCCACGCAGGCAGGGAGGAGGAACAGAGGCTGCAGCAGCCACTAAGACTGGGAGATGGATTTTAACTGCAGACAGCAAAAGACAAGCAGAATATACCTTCTAAATCCTTCAAAAGCCTCAGCACAGCTATTTCTCCTAGAACTGCGTCATGAAAGGGAGCTCAGTCAGGGAAGCCCCACCAAAACCCACTGATGGCTGAGGAGGGTCTTTGCCCAGCAAACAGAGCTGTGCCTGATGCTAATGCTAATTAGCCCTCGCTAGCATGGAGTCAGCAGGACTGGGATGGTGGGAGGGAAGAAGATCCCTCTTCTACAGAAGTAGCTGTGTCCCAGGCAAGCAGTCTGTTCTGGTTTATGGACCAGACATCACCTCCAAGGAGCTGATCGGGTACCTGTTTCCAGACCACCTTCTCCTCCCTTGGCCAGCTGTAGGCCTTGGAGAGGAGCAAGCTGCTGGTCTCTGCCCAGGTTACCTTCTTGTCAACCTGGCCCTGCAGCGTGCCCTGTCCCTCCTCCCTCCCTCCCAGCTCTGCAGCTACACACGGGCGCCTTTCATCAGTCAGAAGACCTGACCCCCACCCGAAGCCAGCCGAGGTGGAGGGTGCTGACAGGAGCCGCATTCATCAGGGCGCTGGCTCAGGCTCAAACTAAACACGACATTGGCTCCGAGGCTGTGTAGAGGATGGGGCCTGTCTGGGCAGAGGCAACTGGGGTTAAATCTGTTTTCTCTGGCCTCAGCAGCACAGCTAGTTCACGCATGGCAAGACCCAGCCTGAGGCTGTGCCAGCCTTGTGCAAGAGCCCAGAGGGAGAGCAAAAGGCACCTCTCTGCTGCCTTTGGCTCCTTACTGTGCAGTGCTCTCTGCGGGGCCGGGAAGCACCTGGAGCCATCCCAAGGAAACCACGTGTGATCCCTACAACCATCAGGCCAGTGCAAACACAACAGCACAGCTTGCTTGGGAGACAGAGCAATTGCAGCTCACTGGTAAAAACAGAAAAAAAAAAGCGCATACATACTCCCATGATGGGAGCACCACAGCACTGCCTCTGGGATTTGGATCGGGACAGTCACAGCTCTTGGGAAGTCCCTGTGTGGCTGCTTACCACTGCCGGGACAAACCGTCAGCCAGGCGCTTGGTTTGACAGGGAGACAGAGAACAGCACAGCGAACAGAGCAGGGACCACATTCCATGCAGGCCTCAGCTTCCCCCCAGAGTGACTCTGATGAAGCAAGGAAAGAGTTTTGAAGTAGATCTAACAGCCAAATTGCAATGGCTAATAAACTAGAGATGGAGCCTGAAATACTGCCTCCCACAGAGCAGCTCTCATTACAGGGGAAAAAGCAGCAACAGTCCTGGCCCGGGCCAGCCCCCTGAACAGCTCACCACTCCCAGTTACCCTCCACATCTGTCTCACTTGGTCTATTGGTGAAAAAACACACACCAGTGAGGTCTTAGTGTCAGTCAAGTAGGGCTTTTAAGAGGGTTTTTCTATGCTCTGAGCTCAAAGATGTCAGCGTCCCAGCCAGAGATGCTGTTGTGTGTTTCTTCTGCCAGCAGCTGAAAGATTAGGAAATCCACTCACTCTCAAGTGGGGAAAAACAACAGATGATGATTTTTGCAGAAACACATGAGCCAGAAGCTTTTGCCACAAGCTCCAGGGAAGCTGTTGTCCCAGAGGAGAGTCCTTCCCTGGGCTGCAGGAAGGGCCACAGCTAAGCCCTGGATCCTGCTTTGGCTCTTAGTCCTGGCCCAGCTGTAGGTCTGGCTCTGAAAGATTCTTCCAGCCAGTGACCTGGTGGTACTGGGAGAACCTGTGGCCTGACACAGGGCTGTCACAACCAAAAATAGCCCTTCTTCAGTATTTTCAGTGCAGACATTCAGCTTTTAGGCTGATGCTACCTCTGTTCTCCACTAGGGTGGCACCAAGGACCTCTCTTGGCCAGAAGACAAAAAGCAACTAGGATAGGCTTGAATATCACTAGTGCTTGTGGCACGTGCTGAAGGGGAGAAAGGGGGAGAAGATAGCTACCCCCAGCTAGCTCCCCAAGCTGGGCCTTGGGGAAGGCTGAGCTGCCAGCCTCTGCCAACTGCTAAGAAAAGCACATGCTCCTTTGCTCAAGAGCATGCTAGACACCCTGTTCTTAGCCACCAGGCCCAGCCCCAGCAGCTGTGAGAGCCAGGGCAATTGTTGGACACTCCTATAGAGCCAGAATTAAGACTGACTTCTCCCTAGAGGCTCCATGTAGCAGCTGTCGTTGTGGCAGAGAGCAGAACACAACAGAGGCAGAGGGAGGCTCCAGGTGGAGATGACAGTGGCGGCAGGGGCTGGCAGACCATCCATATGTTGTTACACATGGCCCCTGTGCAGTCTTTCTATTTATCTACTCGACAGTGACTTCAGCTTTCAGCGGGTAGCAAAGCCAGGTCTTTGAGAGCTTAGCCCAGAAGCTGCAACAAGTGAAAGGTGAAGACACCCCTAATGTTGTCACCCCTCTTGTCCTCCCTACCCCAAAAGTATGGAAGAGGGAAAGCTTGAGGTTTCTCCCTTGAAGTGAGAATCCTGGAACAATTAGAGCCCTTGCCTTTACCACTAGAATAGTTAACTAGTAGGACAAAACAGAGGAAAGAGCAGAATTCATGAAACAGGAGTTAGTGACAAAAGTTATCCTGTGTGGAAGTGAGAGAACAGCAAGCCATCTCCTGCTTTAGTGGATACCACAGGGATATATAAGGCAGTCTTCCCCCAAGACAGTCTCATTTTAGACAGCACTAGTGAACAGAAACTAATATCTAATACTAATTCACATGTAAGGTCTGAGGTTAAGGGATCCCTCTTGTTCCTCCTTTAGCTCATCCAAATCTCATAACTGTGGGAACATGTTCAGATACTCAGTTGCATTTTAATCAATATTACCTTCTTGGACTGATATATTCCCACATTAGACAATCCTCTCCCCACTGTGGAAGTAGTAAGGGAGCATGGCTGCTCTGCCTGTCAGGAGACAGCTGGACTTCATCACCCAGTAACACTGTACACAGACACAACATGTAACACCGACTTCAATAAGTCCTTTATTTTTAAATAAAGAAATCCCACTGAATCAAAGATAACAAAATTACATTTTGTTTTGCAATGACCTCCATTTTACACTGCACAGAAGAACAAAAATTAAAGAAAAAAATCAAAGACATAATTTTATATATATTTATATATATAATTTTAAAGGTAAACATCAGCAGATATAGAAAAATTGCATTGCTAGTTGCAAATCATCGCCCCTGCAGCTGTCAGCTCCAGAGAATCTGACTCAGAACATGGCAGCAGGGAGGGTGTCTCAGTATACAAGCTTTTTCAGGGCACTATTTAGAGGTGGTTCCAGAGTACAGTTTGCCAATTTGAAAATATTTTCATAGTAAACTGCTCACCAAGAACACAAGAAGTCACTCAGCCTGTTCTAACACAGCTGCATGGACAAAACAAGAAGGGCACAGGTCTGTTCTTCTTGAGCTTTCCACACACCTCTTCAGCTTGGGATTTTCAGAGAAAGAGGTTATGCTTTCTCAAGAAGAATGTCTAGTGATCTGTCAACTGAGAATTATGGTCAAGACATCAAGTAACACAATGATAAAACATGCTCCTTTGGAAAGTGGCTGACTTGGGCTAAGCAGTAGGGTTTAGTTATATCAAATACAAGTGGGTTTTGTTTGGGTTTTTTTAAGATTTCCCAGTTGTCAGGAGCCATGAGAAGGGTCAACATCCCAGTTGAGCTATGGTAGAGATCCTAGAAGAAAGTTCTGTATCTAATCAAAGCTCTTGCATGACCAAAGATAGACAATGCGAGCTTGTCATTCAGACAGAAGCAAAAAGGCTTTGTGTAGAGCCACCTTGAGGGATGAGGCTCTTTACTGGCATTAAAACTACCTGGATTAGGCCAGGCCCTTGGGTCAGGGGGAAAGAAAAGCCTTTATTCACAAGTGATGCAGGGCTGGAACTTTTGGAGAGTGTTATGAGAGCCAGCCTGATAAATGCCACCCTGGACTGCAGTGTTTGTGTCCGTTGATTAACCAGCAAAACCAAGAATACGGATGTTCAAAATGCAACTGTTCAGGATAACCCTAGAAACCAACCCTTCCCCCATAGTGTGGAAAGCTGGGAACTGCTTTGATTCACTGACAGCACTTATGCCTAAGCTCCCCCAACAACTGAGAAAGTCCAGGCCAGTGTAACAGACATTCCCAGTGATAAAAGGGGTACAGTTACAAGGCACCCCTCCATTAGGCTGGTGTTGCTCTGAGGCATTCTAAGCTTAGAGAAAACTCAGAAAGTCCTCACCCCAAGAAGCACTGTTTGCTTTTCACCTAGAAGCCATGAAGGAGATGCTGCTTTGAGTCACTGTGACTCCAGGACCTGTTAAACCAACAGACCTGCCTAAGAAGTAAGGACACATGGAGCATGAATCAAGCCAGAAACAAGATGCTCTTCACAAGAAATAACTTATAAATGCAGCACAAGGCCAGGGTCTTTTCTGGTCTCCTGGAAAAAGACTGTGAAGAATTTCAATAAGCTCCAGACAGGCATAATATTTCTAGAAAAACTTGGAAGCAATCCAGGTGACTAAACTGGTTGGCAATTAAGTCCTGAAGTTGCTACTCTGCTCACTCTTTTTTTCCAAGACGTACTCACTTAGGCAATCTACCTCCAGCTACACTGCTGGAAAATTTAGACACAAGCACTTTGAGACTGTAAGGTAACAAGTCACACATTAAGCAAAGCAAACCCTCCTTCTATGACTCAGTCTGTACTGCTAGAGGGAGCAGAGAGCTGAAAGCAATCCACTGCTTATATATGTTTTATTTTAAGCCTTGAAATAGACTGTAGCTAGTTGCACGCTGCCCACAAAGGTCCTTTAAGTCAGCATGCACTGTTACAGTATATGTTGCCAGGGATGTCTCTCTACCTAGTGTCTGAAAACTCATTTACAAAAAAGCCAAGCCCCAAACGTTGATGGAGCTGTTACTGAAGTCTCTAGATATGCTGATGTCAAGGGAGAAGGAGAAAAGGGGCAAGGCACCACGTGTCAAAGGGCTGTGGTCTAGGAACTTGTGACATACCCAGGACAGATAAGACACGGGTAGCTTGGCTAAATTCAGTACTGGAGCTAGTAGTTCCCAACATCTTTGCTCAATGCCCTGTCTTTGTAACCTAGAGCTTCATAAACAGAAACTGCAGAAAAATGCTCAGGAAAGAGACTGCAGGGAAGTTCAAGTGTCTGTCTTTACCAGGCAACTACAACACTGCCAGACCCATCTGAAAACACCTTCAGTTTAGAAGGTAACCAAGGGACTGTTAAGAATGCTGGCAGATCTGATGTAGTAGAAGCTGTAAGTCCCAGCTGTTCAATCTTCAGGTCTCTCCAGACACTGACAAAGGTGATGGTTGGACCAGCCTAACCATCCAAGAGTAACAGTTCTGCAACTCGCTGATTGAGAGAGTCCTCAGGGTTTACGTTCAAGTGCTACTCACATGCAGTCACAGGAAAGAGGTGTGTACACTCTGCTAATGCTTTTTCTAAATCCAGTTTGAAACTAAGCAGAGCATATAACAGATTCATCATGCTGTAATCTTGAACTGCAACATCAGACTATAGTGTAATGATCTACAAGTGCACACTTCAACCTCATTGTCTTGACAAGAGATGAGAAAGACAACTTCACCTCTAAGACTTAAAAACTTAGACTGCACTTAAGGTGAGTTCACTGGGCAAATGAAAACCACTGGCCCACATCACAAGACTACTGTTGCCTTATTTTAGGAGAGAAGAGTATTGCAGATGAGGACTGGACAAAGTCCCATGCATCCTGGGGTACTGGCACTAGGTATCAGTTGCCAGTCACTGTCTGCAGCAAGATTTAATAATTCCCTTCTTTGAAGGTCTTTAGATAACATGCACTGCAGATTAACTTTCTGTTCTCCCAATTCCTTAAACTCTAAGTTACTGCTGCAAGTCTGACACCATGAGTCTTGCTTTGAAAGCAGCATCAAATTGAGCAAGATGGAGAGAATAGGTTTTTTTTCCTCACTGCTTCCACCTACAAGCTTAGTAAGCTGAACCTCAGCTCCAGACACCTTACACAAAGAACCCATGACAAAAGCTCTTCCCCAAAGAGGCTAGAATTAGTTGATCAAATCACAAGTGGTTTGAACAACTGTAGATGCAAGTGCAAAAATAGGTCAAAAGAGCAAGACAGAGACCCATATTACTTCTGTAGTTGAGAGTTTCAGAAGGTCCGCAGCATCAGCACTTCTCAAATATGAAGGCTTGGGTTAGGTGACAGGAAGGAGTATTCCTCAAGAAGATCCTCCAACTTTAAAGAAAAAAATCTATTTGATTAGAGAAAGCTACAGCTCCTGCTACTTTGAGAGTTGCTCACCTTATTTTAGGAGACTTGCTTAAAAACAGGTCATTCATTGACTGGCCATCTGCTGTGCTGAAATCAGTTTGAAACAAAGGTACATTTAACAAGAAGGTAGCTTCCTCCTACCTCAGAAACAGAAAACACTGTTTGAAAGCCTGGTCTGTCAAGAATGATCATCTTTACAAAATGGAAGGAGGAAATTTTTTTTCCAAGAAAAAGCTTCCCAGGACAAAGGTCTGCTTTCAGAAGGACTGGCACGACTTGGCCAAAAAGCAGAGGCAAAACACTTGCTTTGCTTCATTGCAGCATTAACCTTCCGAGACAGTACCCAGCCAGTTCTCACCCTCCTGACTTTCATGTTCTGGGCTAATCAACAGCTGAACTGTTCTGCCAGTCTGGAGTCCTGGGGAAGGAGGCAGAGCTTCAGCCACTTGAGGAGCTGGGCAGAGCACTCCTGTTTTTGATAATGCTCTCAAGTTGAGGAAGTCAGATCTTTTGCTCTCAAAGGAGGTCAGATGCACACCGATATTTCTTTCATAGGTATTCACATGTTGGGTCATACGATGGGCTCTTCACCTCAGCAGTGGTATTGGTACCGAGGACAACTTCTGTTCCTCTAGAGCTGTCTGAAGTTGATACTCAGCACAGCAAAACAGGATTGAAGAAGGACACACGAAGCACAAGATGGACAGTTCTGTTTCAAGGCAGACAGCCATGACCCGTGGAAGCTACAGCTGTAGCATACTATGAAAGTCAAAACACTTCTAAAGTTGTAACCCACTGGAGATAAAAACCATATTCCCCCTACACACCTAAATTTATACTGTATCTATTTGATGTGTACAAGTGTTGTTTACACTCCACTTCTATTGAAGTGAGAAGATATTTAAGTCATATCCAATGAATATTACATGAACAGCTACTTAAGCAAAAATCTGAAATGTCTTTTATGACAGATTTTAGTGATATACAGATGCAGTATGAATAAGAAGATAACAACATGGAGACAAGATATCCATCAGCTAAGAATATCCTCGCTAACTGATGCCCTAAAATAGTTCTTAAGGAACAGCCACAAGCATGGCCAAGTCTTGCTATAGCTTTACTTGGTCACATCTTTTCTTTGAAGAAAAAAGGAAACCTGTATTTACTATCATGGAGAATGTGCAGATATCCACAGTTCATTGTAACAGGCCAAGGTATCTGGCCTAAGGCAAATGAAAGGAATTTCCTGATATGATAATGCACCTTTGCTACAATAGTTAATTATTGCTTTATTAAAACAAAATCCCACCTCTCCAACCTACTGAAGTTCAGGGACAGGGCAGTCCAGAAGGCTTGTTCCCCTATATTATCAGGCTGAAGTCTTGCAGCTTGTTTCACCCTTAAGCTATAAACTAAAGCGCCTGGAACATGGACCAAGGCTGAAGCAATAAAGTGCTAATTGATGTGGGAAGCATGACAGAAGAACAACTTCACTGACACCGATAAAGAAGTCCTAAGGATGGATTAACAAGACTACAATATTGACAGAACAAACTGTAAAAAAAAGATTGACCACAAAGTTTCAGTCTCCAGATTGTCATGGGACAACTTTCCTTCCAGGGGATAGACTAGAGTCTTTAATAATCATCTTGGCACAGACTGTAACAGCCACTTGAGGGAAAAGCACAAGTGAGTAGGCATCGTTCCTGCAAACAGCTTTCACACTTCACTCTGCACATTAAACTAGAAGAGAATGTCTGGGCGTGGAAAAGAAATTAAAAGTAAGGAAGAGCCCAGTGTCTTACGGGAACCAGTAATCCTACATCATTCACAGAGATATAGTAGAAGTAGTTAGCCATGCAAAGATATCATTTTAGTTGCACGGGGCTAGAGACATCCAGTTCCCCATCAACTGTAAGGCGAGTCATGTGTCTGAAAACCATTTGATGCTTTGAAAAGGGAAGAATTTTTGTGTAATTTACCATGACATAAGGGGAGTAAATCTAAATAGATACCTTCCCCCTCAACAAATTAATCCCTAACAGAGTACATAATTCTCTACGAAATATTCTTAAAAACAGACTGACCTCACAGAAAGATCCTACAGATTCTTAATCACAGGGTTTCCATTTGGAAGCCAGAGCCAGCTTTAAAAAGTCCTGGGTCAAAAGAAATAATATCCAGTGCTAAAAAGATGGCTATATTTAAAAAGAGGCGAAGATGACAAGAAGGTGACTGATGTAGTCTTGGTGTAAGAACATGTTTACATAGAAACATTAACTGGTATTACCAGCCTGCAGCTTTTCTCTACCTGGAGTCCCAGCATAAAGACACCCCAATCCAAAGATAGCTGAAGCATGAAAAGTTATGTATTTTTAAACCGATTGACTTGTGTAAGTGCATTCCTAGGAAGTAAAAGGCTCCCTTGAGATGGTGCAAGGCTGGAACTCCACTTGCAGTCAAGCATCTGTTTTTCCAAGCCACATTTCAGTGGCTTACAGACTGAACCACTCACTGGCTTGTAGCTTAATACAGGGCTTTTCCAGCACCAGGACCGAGGAGAGCAGAGCCACAGTTACCCTGTCACCTACACCTAAACAAATGCTGCAGATCAAGTCTGACCAGCAGATGAAGATATTTTGACATTTGAAACTTCTGCTATATTAAAGCAAGCAGTCTTCAGCTCAGTAACCCTGTAATAAGTCACAGTCAATCTTAATTCTTCAAGCAGAGCAGTAAAGTACAAACCCAAGTGACTATATATGTAAAGATGCTCTGACCAGATATTAACCTCTGCTTTAACTCCACTTGGGAAGAAAACATTGCGATCAAACCCCAGCCATAGGATATACCAAGGAGAATGGGAACCTGAAGCAGCAGGTGAGGGAACAAGATGTTCCCAAAGGGGGAGATATACTGAAGCTATTCAGAGTCTTTGGGTCAATTATTCCTGGCCAGATACAGCCTGCTCTGTGTCTGAGCAGTGAGACTTTGTCTTCTCCCACTGGCAGATGGCATTGGCATACTGTACCACAAGCTTATCCATCCAGGTAAGAGGTTCTGGGAATAGTACAGACCCCTCAAAAAATCCCAGGTGGCCTCCATGAAGGGGCAGCACGTGCATGACATTTTCCCGTTTCTCTGTAAAACAAGAGAGGCACAAAGTTCCAGAAAGTTACCATTTTTGGCGGTGAGAATGAAACCATCTTAAGTTGTGATAATCAATATCCTTGGCATAGCATCTGAACTAGAGGAACAACCATGTGTAGGAAGCAGAAATGCACTGACAAAGGCCATGGCTACTTTGAAGTCCAAAGCACATAACCTTACTGCTTCACAGAACAGGACAGTCTGCAGGAACCAATCCCAGCCAGTACAAGAAGGTTGCCCAAGAAATGCTGCTGGTTGGGGCCCTGCAGCAATGTGCATATTGTCATAAAAATGCTCATTCTTTAACAAATGAACATCTTTAACTCACGTACACTGGAACTAGGACTGTTCGCATCATGTCAAGCTCTGCTAAAGCTCTGACAGTACATCAGCCACCTCGTTCCATGCACAGTGAGAAAATCCCTGTGCTTGCTTCTGTTTGGAAGCAGCTGTGGATAAACTCTCTGCTCACAGCATTTAACCTCAAAAAGAATTAACCCTGCTTCCCTCCCTCCACACCCACTATCTGTGTCACAGAGCAGCAGGCAGCTCCCTCTCCTGAGCTTCTAAAGGTAATTTTTCTTGGCTGAAGATGGCTCTCAGAACTCCTTTCAGGGGAGAGATCCTCATTCAGTACCAAACAAGTGCCTCCCCCATCAGCAAAGGGGGCTGGCTGTTCATCTGTACTTGATCAAGACTATATAACAACCCACCTTTCTACTAAATCTGTGTGAGGAATGAAGACATGAGGAAACATTTTTCCATTCAAGAATGTAACCTGAATGTAACCTGCTGGCTAACAACACAAGCCATGACAGCAAACGGTGCCTGAAAGGACTCAAGTTCTTCCTGCTCAAGGTTAGCCTTGTTAGTTCTAACGACTGGTGATTTAAAAGAGGCTTAGTAAACTCCCCACAGGATTACAGATGTAAGGAGGCAAGTCAAGCTCCTTTGAAGTCATGGATCATTATGTGATAAGGAAGCTGCAGGTACACAAATATGCACAGCTGGAGGAGACTGCTTCAACATACCTGAAAGGGCTCTTGGAATTGAAAGAAGACTCTCATGCACAAGGGGGTCATCAGCAGCATTAACCAACAGAAGAGGAACATAGATCTGCATCAAGAAAGATGGCAGAAAAGGAAAAAACAGTAAGAGGTTGGTATTTAAATTTCAGTCTACCAACTGTAAAAGCATCTTAACTCAATCAAGACACCTTATTTCAGAATTGCCCTGTACCTGCAGAAGCATCAGAAAAGCAGAAAAGAGTTGAAATTTAAGACTGGGGGCTTTTCATCAATGGAGTACTTCGCAGCACTTTTTTTTTTTTCTTCAACTCAATTGTATGAAAGGGGCAGGGATGCATCTGAGCAAACATGTATCAAATCACAAACCTTCCCCATTCTCAGAATTCAGATAAGCTACACCCTTTTTTGCTCTGTATTGCTTTGCACATCAGGCAACTAGTGCCAGATCTGTTATGGACACCTTGGTTAAAGTCCAGGAAACTCCCTTGGAACATCTCCATCCTCTGACTCAGTTGATCAAGGAGAAATTAATCTTCCAGTTCCACTTCTGCAAAACTTTGGTCTGCTAAGCATCTGCCTGCAAAACAGCATCCTGAGTCTCTTCATTCAAACAGCATCTATTAAGCCTTCCTTGCTTGAAACTGAAGGCTCTGTGCCACCACCCATTTCTCACCTTATCCTTGTACACTCAGAACAGTTGAGCTGAATGCATGGCTTGCATGCTACTACCAGAGTTCCAAGCCCTTAAGAGCCCAGAGCATTTAGCCTCAGTATTAGAGGTAGGAAGAACTGAAGTCCAGGTCCAATACACTGTGTCTGATTATTTCTGAAAATCTCAGGTAAGACAGCTAGGTCTAGGTATCAACAACAGAAACCACAATACACTTCCTCTCTTGTAAGAAAACGAAGGTACAAGAGCAGTCTCTATTGCAAGAGCTTACCCTGTGCAAGTAATGCAGGCAGCTTTCTTCTTCATAATATTCCTTCAGGGAACTGTAGCCATGGAACTTCCTGAAAGAGAAGACTGTCACTGAAATCATCTGCCTCTAGTAGGCATGGGATTCACTTTCCAGTGAGGATGTATATGCAGAGACAGGAATGATGCCTTAGTTTTCATGGATAATGCTTTTTTTCCACCCAGTGTCTCTGCAGAACTCACCTCTGGCAGCATATGCCTTTATGCTTTTGGTGCTTACTCAAACATTGTTAAGGCATGGTCAAGTTAAACAGGCAAGCTGAAGCCTAGCAGCCTTCACGGCATTTCTTTTAAAGTATCCCACTTCTCTGAAGGAATAGTACATATAGGAGGAATAAAAAGTTATCATCTTGTTCATCTTTACCTGAAAGACTTTTCAGATGCAAAGCCACCGCAGTTTATGAACCTCAACCATACTGGACAGAAGGGCCTGCCTACAAGCCATCGAGAATTCACCATAGTTCCAGTTCTTTGCCAAATCCTTAGCACTCCATCCCAAACCAAGAATTCAGTGAACCTACACTCAAGTTTGGGGTTTTTTTTTGATGTAAGTGACAACACAGCTGTTGACCCAAACCAGAGAGGCCTCAGATGAGGGACAAGTAGGGAGACTTCCCTAAGAATGGCTTTTAAAAAGCCACCAGCAATACTCCCAGTCTGTCAAGTGTTATAGCTGTATAGCTGACAGTTTATAGCCTCATTTTGGAAATGTGTACATGCTCAATACAGAACATGCCATGGTATGAACACTGCCACTGAAGAATGTGCTATGTTATTTTCAAGGACATGAACAGTAACAAGCTACTGCTTAATAAAGCAGAGAACTTAATTTAGGTGTTTGTATGACAAGTAAAAAAGGTTGGATTATCTCATCCAACTCTTATGTTTATTGAGAAAGGAGTAGTGATTTTTGGGGAGAAGGTTTAGTTTTTTTCAAAATTCAAGCAGGGTCAAGAACATTCATGAGTAGTTCTGAACTGCTTTCTACACTGCACTGTTTTTTGCTAGAGCTTGCAGCAGAGCTGGCATGTTCCTACATCACGGAAGGCTGCAGGTTCAGATTTACTGATAAATAAATGCCTCCTGGGTGATTTTACAGAAGTTGTGACTGTCTATAGTAAGGTTTTTTTGTTCCTGATAAGTTTTATTCAATGTGAAGGCAAGGAAGAATTTCTGAGGTTGTCAGCATTGTATTTCAGCAGATTCCTACAAGCACAGCAAGGTGCCTGCAAGAGCAGCACTTGAAAGAGAAGGTACTTTCAGAGATCTACATCGGATCAGAGAATCACCCTTCATACCTCATAACGTTATCATCAATCTGCATAAGGGATGTTGCTGTATAGAGTTTGCTCAGATCAGCATCTGACAGGCTTTGTGGCTTCTTCATGTTATCTCCAAAAAGAGCTTGCCTGAAAGAGTAACATCAAGAAAAACATCCAAATAACATAACAAGGGCAGCAAAGCCATGACCTGTTCAAGGACAACTAAGTTTACAAAGTCTGACAGGATAAGAATAGAAGTGGGCTATATATACACATGAGGCTTTCTTGGGAACAAGCACAGCTTATATCTCCACCTCCCTTTGTAGCAAGGCATAACAGAAACCCAAGCAGCTTCTTTACAGAAAAAATGTTTTCCTGTTCTACTGAAAAACTGCATGAGGGGCCTCTAAAAAGAATCTTCCCAGAACAGAACATGCTAGGGGTATTTGGAACAGACACTAGGTTTGAGGGAGGGTCCTTTGACTTCAGACCAAACCTGTGGGTGGCTCGGGTGAAAGCACTAGCAGTCCTGGGCACAGCATCTCCTTCACCATCTGGTCTTAAAATCTCCCCAGCACAGATATTAGGTTAGCTCACACCGAAATTACTTGGGGCATTACCTTAGCAGAAAGCTATTTACTAAGGACACTTGTCATAATTAGTTATCGCTCTCAGGAGAGGATTTGTTTCCTTACCAGAACAAACTGCTCCCCTAACAAATAGAACAAAAGCTGCAAGTTGGAAAGGGGTTTTTATTCCCTTTCAGAGGCAACTGCAGGGCAGAGCAGGAGGGAGGCTAGGTTTAATTTGGGGGAGCTGCCTTAGAGTACAAGTGATTATGGAAAAAAGTTCACTTCACAGATTCACCTTCAAGCCAGTACTGTTTTTTTCTGGGTTATGAATTTAAGTACCTTTTAATGGGGGCTTACCTAACTTAACATGTTAAATTTTGTCAAGGTGTCTAAATATTTATCAATCTGGAATGAATTATGTGGATCATCCGGCATGTCAGCTGTCCTAATTCCTTCTAGAAGTGTTTCATATGGCACAGGAGCATAAACAATGAACCAAAAGTTTGCAAGTGACACATGCTCTTAATTGGAATGGGTCTTACACATTCCCTTTTTTTTCCCTTGAGTCAGGCAACTTCAAATATACACAGATGAGGTACTTACACATTTATTGCCCTAGAAAGAAGTACCCAGAGAACTTCTGATGGAAGAAACAACAAATTGAGCATGTCACCTGTTTAATATTACACACAGTCCCTTGATATGCAAGAGCCACAGATCACACAGCAGCACAGGGATCCTACAAGTATACTTGCACTCCAGGAAGAGCAACACTAAGTATTTTGCTGGCTACATGCTCTTTCTAGAGGAACAGCTAGAAGCCAGAGCTACAGTTTGACTATTTGCTTATTTGATAAGCAGCAGCCCCATACAGCAGATCTTGAAGATTAATCCTACCTCAGGTAGGTGGCAGAACAAGAGGCTCCTTGAATAGGAAATTCTTTGGCTAGAAGTGAAACAGATGCAGAATACTCCACTTTGAAGTCTAATTGAAATGTTTTCCTGTGCACATCTTGTTTATTCATCAAGCAAGCCTCCTTGGAAGGCAAAAAGACAACAAAGCCTGCTTTCTTCTAACAAGATCACTAAAGCTCATTTGTAAATTTTACAGTATGTGAATGAGATTGGGCTCTCTTTCTCTGTTGGTTCATCTAAAGACCACCAAGCAAGGAACTGGTGCATAATCTTTCAGAATTCTTAGCTTAAAGGACAAAGGCAACAAATCCAATATAGCAATTAAACTGATAGTATTAATTGGGTCAAATGATGTACTGCAGTACCTGTGAGAAAGAATGATCTTCTTCATGTTGTCTGCCATGAGGAAGTTATAAAATCTTCTGCATTGATCCCACTGCATGAAGGTTTCCTGTGCCCTAAAAAAAACACACAGCAGAACAATCAAAGCTGTTAATGGAGATCTTGAAAGAACAGATTAATACACTGTAACATCTTATGGCAGCCTAGAGGCTATGTAAACAAATCTCCAGGCCTTCTCTGTCACGGCTTAACCTTTTCCAGGAAGTGACCTCCACTTTGATGAGGTTTGGTAGTATCAGAAAACAGAGCTGCAGTCTCGTTTTGCACAATACAATTAGCTGTTTTGATCAGAGCATTTAAGAGCCATCAGTCAAGATATGCAACACCGACAAGAAGATTTTAGTATCCCTTTTCATGAATTGGATGTGATTTATGTAATGGGACTACCAAGGACAGGACTAAAATCTGTTGCTGAGAAAGTGTTGTCTATTGTGTATATTAGGTCTGCAGAGGAAATAATTTGTGCAGATGTTTCCCATGTGTACAGACACTATTATTGTTTTAGCTTCACTGGCAGGAGCTGTAGAAATAAATTCTAGTTGCAGCTGCAAGTGGCATCTGAGTTGAAGTCTTTACCTATTCTCAAAGCAGAATAGCACTTCATAGCTTATCTGTTGTTAAAACAGAATTAAAGTAATCCATACTTCTGCAAGCTCTGCCAGATACCAGCACTCCTTTGCTATGCAGGGTCATGGCCAGGTTATAGCTTTACTCTTAGCAGGTTTGCTGTTACTGAGGAAACACACTATCATTTACTGAGCAACTTGAGAATGCTGGGAGAAGTTTCAGCTACTGAAGTACTCCTACCATTTAAACATTAACATACAATGGAGAACACTACAGCAGATTTAGCATGACCTCTCAAGCCACAACCTCTAAGTGCCCTACCACAGCAAAAGCAAACTATGTTTTCTTGTAGTAAGCCATGCTGGAGTATGGAATTTAAGAAAACCAAACAGTTACCTTACCTTTTTGTCTCGTCAGACTATACTACCATGTTTATGCCAGGGCAAGGGAATGAAGGATGAGGGGAAGATGCACATTTGACAAACCTATTAAGTTATTATAAGACATTTGAAATTAAAGCTGCTTACATTTCCCTGCAGTTCCTGAAGTGTACAGTAGTATTCCTAATATGAAGAGCTGGAAGTATTAAAGGCAGCTTCTGGTATTTTGAAGACTGCACATGTTTTGGAGCTCAAAACTCTCCCCACAGCCTGTAGCTATGGTAAAGATGCATTCCACAAGATCAAGAAACAGAATCAAGCCTGTGCAGGCAAAGATTAAGGAATAAGGAGACATGTCCCTGTTTAGCCTCAGGGAACAAATTCCCCAGACTGTGTTAATTCATTAAACTAAGTCTCATTCTTCTGCCAGACTGAAGTATTGCTGCTACTTTATTATGCCCATCTATGAGGACTCATGCTTAATGTTCTGGAAGGGATTTCATATTTCAGATCCCTGGTTCACCTTGCTCACCACAACTTTTTTTCCTTCACTTCATAGAGTTATTTGGGGGATAAAGGCTGTACGAGCCAATATAAGAAAAAAAATGGAATTGCAAGCTAACTGGTCATGTCTACCAGGGTAATCCACTTTTCCTGTAGCCCAGAGGGATGAGGCCAGCTATTTTAGCCTACCAGACCAATCCCAGGAAGGCTCAGGCTTAATCACTGCACCTGGAGCTACTTTGTATCTCCCTCCCACTTCTATAACCAGGCCACAAGGCCCTCCCTATCCTGTCTTTAGCTTAGTAGCTATTTACTGATGTTGCTTTCCCCCAGCTCTGCAGCTAATTGGCCTTTGAAGCAGTAATAGATATTAGGTAGGGAGACACAAGATCTGAAAAACTTCCTGCTGATTGCCCAGTAATGCATAGCAGATGTTTTGACTGGATATTTGCTAGTAGATGTTTACCCAGCAGGTGGAGACAAGAGCTCAAAAATCCACACAACCCACTAAAGACTTGCATTAAACTCAGACAAGCAGCTGTTATTTTTCCACAGAAATATCCAAGTGGTGTGTCCTTAAACAGCTTGTCCTTGCCCTGCTACTCTACCAGCACATCACGACATACTGCTACAGAAATTGGCTTAAGGAACAGCATTACTTACAACATAATTTTGGAGGCCAGAAATACAATATTGCATAACTGTAGAAGATGAACCAAGTGGACCACAGCCAGATGTGAACCTTGTAAACTCCGTCTGATGGCTGCAATTGAGGAGCTGGCTTCAAAAGAATGCCCTGTGCTCCATGCCAGAACCCCAAGACAACTAAGAACATTTTATTTGTAAAAGAGAAAAACTCTTCCTGAAAGCATCTGTTCAGATTTTAAGGGTGTGAACTCATGGGGACCTAGCAGTAGACTATACACTGTTTTAACAGTAGTCACACCTGATCTCCAAAGGGATTAGGTATGCTGAAATATTACCAAAGTGCATATCAAGCTTCTAGTCACATCTTAATGCTTCCAGAAAAGCTTCTTAACTTCACCCATAAGAGCTTAACTCATAGAAGGTGTTTTCAGACTGTTGAATATCAATCTAGTCTCCATACAGGCAGAGCATCAGCAAGAGAGTTCCAGATACCTTGACCGGTCTGGGAGGCCAAATTCCATAGCAAGCCCCTCAGACTGCCATAGTTTAACCATTTTTATGTGCCCCAAGGATCATAACCCAAATACTCTAGTCTGAACAGCACCTTTTGCTTTCCAAATAGTCTTAGGGTTCAAAAACACGGTTAAATTACTGTAAGGTCAGCTACACCTTAGTATTGTCCCTATGTACAGACAGTACAAAGAAAAAAGGCAGTAGCTTAGCCAGTTACATTGTTTTAATCTTAACTGTGCATACATGGGAAATTACTGCACATTAGTTGAGCCACCAGTTTTCAAGCAGCAGTGCTGTACCCCAATCTTCCATCAGTAAATGGAAGCGTTATAGCACTAGGTGGAGCCGTTACAGCTCCTGGAAGTGCTACAGCCTTGGCTTCCAGGTAACATTTTAGGCAGACTTTAGGGCTATAAGCCTTCTCCCCATCTTCCAAATTGTGTAAAGTAGTTACAAGTATCTCTCCATCTCCTCATCAGCCCACAGCACTGTTTTCAGTGGCACACTGAAGAGGGGAGCATGGACTGACAGTGTACGAGCTGTGTGTCTTTCAGCCTCCCCAGGTAAGAGCTGCCAGATGAAACAGCGCACTGAAGCCAGACAAGCTATTGTGAACCAATGGATGCTCCTCAGAGTGATAAGAAAGTGTAAATTCTTGCAAATGTGCAGTCATTTCAGTCTGACATGCTGCTCAGCCCATTTAGTTAATTACATCAGGACTGCCCAGGGAATGACTCCTCTTAGGACACTGTAGCAATGAGAGAGTTAGGCCAGCTCATGAGTACAGACCAGAAGCTGCCAGCATGTACCTGGCCAGGTACAGAAAATTTATTTGCGTTGTTGACAAAAAGCTTATTTGTGCTGCCATATCAAGAAAGCTTTGGCTGCTCCTGTAGGAGGGTGGCATCCCACATGCTGCAGTCTGTCAGACCAATTCAATACAAGAGAAACACCCCACTTCACCTTGTCCTTCCACACCCACCCTGCCAAAGATCTGCCCCCTCCTGCACCCCCAGAAGAGACCAGCATGGAGAAGTCTAGACCTACCTCAGTGCACTGTACCCCTGGCAGACACTGACGCAGCACAGAACTCGCTCCTGGTTGGCCTGGCTCTCTCCCAAGTACTTACACACAATGTTTCCACCCAGGCTGAAGCCCACAACCACCATCTGGGTCTGAGGGTAGGTCTTCTTGATGTAATTAACCATGGCACCAAATTCCCAGGTGCAACCTAAAAATAAGGACAAAGTCAAGAATCAATTTCCAACATACCTAGCCAGATTCCCACTTCAAAATTCAGTTGTGTGCTATAAATTCAGCTTCTTACCCTTTCTGACTTTTCAATAATCTTAAGGTTTTAAGAGCTCCTTCACACATGTATCTGTTTTGTGTGTCCTGTGGACTTCAGCTCATGCTTAGTTCTGACACAGTGCCAAAATAAAATTAAATTAACGTGCTTAAAAATCATGGCAACAGCTAATCTGACAATTGAAACTATCTTTTTAGAAAGCAGCTTAAAAAGCAGAGTCCAATCACACTGGGCTTGACATTACTATCAAAGAAGAGCACACATCGTTACCTTCCTGACGGTTTGCCACTTCCGAATTTAAGTGGGGTGCCCGGAAAGCAGCCTGCTCCTTTGCTTTTACCAAAACTACCATGGATCCTTAAATCCATGGTGATGCAGGGAGGGGACAAATGCAGAGTTGTCTTGTCAGGACAGAGCTCTGTGGACTGTTGCCGAGCCTGGCTAAGCAGGTGCTCTCTGGAATCACAGGAAAGGGTTTAAGCAGAGGCAGGAAGCCTTTAACCACTGAAGTGGTAAAGATACTGCAGCTTCCGATAAGCTGTATGGGTATTCCCTCTTCAAGAGAAGGGGTAAGAGGGTCTGTACAGAACTGTTCTGCTCTCAGCTAACACCCACTTGCATCTCACAGGCTGGAGGTGCTGAGGGGTCCAGTTTCTGGCAGTTCTGGGGTCTTCAGACTGTTTGATAGACTTGAAGGGCTCCACACAGGCAACATCTGAGTATCTACAGCTTTTTCTCCTGCCTTTGAGTTTGGAAAAAGGAAGCATGAAGAGAAGCAGCTGCAAAACTGATGACATTAGTACACTGGTATTGACTGTCTATGCACGTCGTTAACTTTCCCATTGGATTTAAGACTGCAAACCACAAAGGAGGCATTACACAAACAACAGAAATAAAACTCCAGCTGTTTATTCCTGTCTAGAGTCAGAAAACTCAGCTCTATCTTGTGGAACTTGTTCAGGAAGGTAAGTCCTAAGAGTTAAGATTCTATCCTCTGCCAGCCTAACACTGCTCCAGTATGCCCCCACCCCATCTGTAGCATCCTTGCTAGACATCAGACTCAGGTTTTAGCTAGCTCTGGAGTAGACTGAGCACCAGGGTTTGTTTACTTCAGTGTAACAACAAGCTTCTGGCTGAACCTTTTGCAGGCCTTGGGCACTTCCTTGGGAACATTCTTAACGAGCAATTTTCCTCAAGATCATACATGCTGCATTGTTCTATCTTCCTCTGCAAAAAGCCATCAGTCAAAATACTTTAGTTTTTGACCTTCGTGATTTGAAGGCAGCTGGTAACTATTTCAGAAATCTAGAACTAGAATAACAAGCAGTCAAACTTTATGTAAAGGCTGGAGGATTCCATGAATCCCAAGTTTAGGCTACTTGCTCCTCACCAAATATGTCAGGAATCCAGCAGAAGCTAGATGGACACTAGGATATTTGGGTTGGAGGCAAAGTAAAGTTTGCTCATGGTCTTGCTGGCACTCCACTTGAGCAACTCTGCCATGGCTTTACTAAGGGCAAATCATGCCTGACAAATTTGGTGGCCTTCTACAATAGGGTTACAGTGCTTGTGGATAAGAGAACAGCAACTGACATCATCTACTTGGACTTGTGCAAAGCTTATGACACTTTTCTACATGACATCCTTGTCTCTAAACTGGGGACACATGGATTTGATGGAAGGACCACTCTGTGAATATGAAATTGGCTGGATGGTTGGACCCAAAGAGTTGCAGTCAATGGCTCGATGTCCAAGTGGACACCAGTGACAGGTGGTGTTCCTCAGAAGTCAGTGTTGGGACCAGTGTTGTTTAACATCTTTGTTGGGGACATGGACAGTGGGATTGACCCTCAGCAGATTTGATGATGATGATGATGATGACACCAAGCTGTGTGGTATGGTCAACACACTGGTGGGAAGGGATGTGCCATCCAGAAGGACCTGGACAGGCTGGAGAGGTGGGCCTGGGCAAACCTCATGGAATTCAATGAGGTCAAGTGCAAGGTCCTGCACATGGGTCAGGGCAATCCCAAGCACAAATACAGACTAGGTGATGAGTGGATTGAGAGCAGCCCTGTGGAGAAGGACTTATGGGTGTTGGTGGATGGAAAACTGTGAGCCAGCAAAGTATGCTCACAGCCCAGAAATCCAACTGTGTCCTGGGCTGCATCAAGAGAAGTGTGGGCAGCAGGGCGAGGGAGGGGATTCTCCCCCTCTGCTCCGCTCTCGTGAGAGCCCATCTTCAGTGCTGGGTGCAGCTCTGGGGGCCCCAAGCAGAAGGACATGGACCTGCTTGAGCGGGTCCAGAGGAGGCCACAAAGATGCTCAGGGGGCTGGAGCCCCTCCCCTGTGAGGACAGGCTGAGAGAGTTGGGGGTGTTCAGCCTGGAGAAGGCTCGGGGGAGAGCTTACAGCGGCCTCTCAGTGCTTAAAGGGGCTACAGGGAAGATGGAGAGGGACTCTTTGTCAGGGAGTGTAGTGACAGGATGAGGGGTAACAATTTTAAACTGAAAGAGGGTAGATTCAGATTAGCTATAAGGAAGAAATTCTTTACTGTGACACAGGTTGCCCAGAGAAGCTGTGGCTGCCCCCTCCCTGGCAGGGTTCAAGGCCAGGTTGGACGGGGCTTCGGGCAACCTGGGCTAGTGGAAGGTGTCCCTGCCCATGGCAGGGGGGGTTGGAACTAGATTATCTTTAAGGTCCCTTCCAACCCAAACCATTCTATGATTTACTGTCTTACTCTAAGGAAGTGCTATGAATTCCTTGGCCCTTCCAAGGCAAGGTTTTTTAAAAAAAAAAAAAAACAAACTCAGAAAGGTATGTCTCTAGAGATGCACTACAGAATAGCTCCCTAAGGTCTAAAGCAAAACTCCATGGAGCAACACTGTCAACTTCTATCAAAAAAAAACCCCAAATGCTTTAATGAGGCCAAGCTCAGTTCCCAAGACATGGTAGGCTTGAAGCCATTAACAGCCTAAGGCCCCAATACAAACTGAGGTACTTGGTATTCTTGAAATGGTTTCCACTAAGGAACAGGTTTAATAACTATAAAACAAGCAACAAAACATTACAGCCTATTTGCCTGACAGACTCAGAATCTCAAAGCACAATATTTTTATTCTGGCAATTCAGCTGTTCAACATAAACATTCAAACTGTGAATACAAACTCTTAGCAGTATTTTAGTTATCTTTAAAAAAGAAACCTAACACCAATCTGTTAAACCCACAACTGACTCCTGACATAATGTACCTATAGATATCTGCAGTAAAGAGGGACATGAGGGCTCAGGAGAGCTTAGGAAGAAGCAGGTCAGGTCACAGTCAAGAATGCCACATTATACAAAGATAATGTTACTAACAGGGCAGTTAAGTACAGCTGGAGTCACCCTTAACACAGTTCCAAATCCTTTATTCATTTTAATTTCTAGGTTAAGAAAGATTTCCTTATACTCAAGGTGAAAGCCCAAATTCATGGCAGTGAAGCACTACCACTTCTGTAGCTTTACAGTCATATTCTAGACTTGTGCTGTTCTTTGACATTGTGTTATTCAAGAACCAATCCTCACATGTCACTCATCCTAGGATAGAAATGTACTTTCTGGATAGGCTGGTACAAACTCCTCTCATAGTAAATTTTACAAAGCCTCAGAAGTAGTGTTTATCTTTCAGAGACAGGTTTGTTTCACATTCCACTAAACTGACATTTCAGCATCTCTGAGATCATTTGAGCAGGCTCTTATTAGCCACAAGAGGTTTTTTCTTTCCCCAAAAGTTTTCTTCCCAAAAAAACCCTGTCTCCTTGATTAGGATCCCCAAAAGCTTTCTTTCCAAAAAACTGCCTCCTTGATTAGGATACATGTGTAAAAGCTGGGGAAAAAAAAGAGAAGGAAAAGTGAATCCCAGTATCAGCTCCCCTTCTTCACATGTAAATTCAGTTTAGTTCCTAAGAAACAGTACCAAATTAGTAGCCTCAGATATGGCAGTTGTGTTATGCTGAAGGAGGCTGATTGAGACTTAGAAATTCCCCAAGCTTGAAAATAAGTCCCCAGCTGCCATAAAGTACCTACCATATGTGAACATCCGTGGAGAAGTGAGCTCAATATTTGGTAAAGCTCCCAAGTGATTCAGGACAGCACATCTGTAACCATTTTTTTGCGCATAGTCAACAAAAGTGCGGATATACTGCTTTTCACTGTGGTTAGCAATCCCAGGGCAGATTACCATTGTGACATCCTCTGTGCACAGAAAGAGAGGGAAGTTAAGTAAATGTCACTTCATGCAAATTAAGAGATTCAGAAGGTTTCCATTTCAGATCCGTGGGAAACCATCTACCAGAAGCAAGCTAAAAATCCTACTAGTCTGCCAAAAATCCAGGATGGGACAGGAGACTAGGCAGCTCTAGTGCTACAGATGTGAAAAAGTAATTCATGTTACAGGAGATGAACAGTTTTCTAACCAGGGAAAAACTGCCCAAACAGTTTTACAGGCACTGCCTAGAGACCAAGAGTAAATTCTTCCTTTTGAAGGATGTTTTCGACATTACACATGTTGTGCCTTCTGACAGCCTATTGCGACTGCTAAGCGTGTGGAAGCTCTGCTCTGGAGTCCACTGCTCCTTCATGCACCAAACAGACTGGCTACGTTATTTTTCCCTCATTTCCTTTCCAGAGTTGGGTGTAACACAGATCTTCAAAATGACGCTTTGTTAAGCACAGCCATTCTGATCAGCTGACACTAGCCATCATCTCCTCTGTGGCTAATCTAATGATATTTGATCTGCTGACACTGTTCACTAGTTTAACAAGATATCACTTCATCAACTAAGAAAGTAATTGTTGTAATTCAAGTAAGCACAGTAAATTACATTCAGGATTAACATATGCACTTCAAATTAGCTATTAAGCTCTTAGGTGCAAAGCTCCAACATTAGCAGCTCTAGCCACTGAATTTCTGCCTCATTACAAAAGAACTGCTCAGAGTCTCTTCAGTGATAAAGATAACAGTAACTGTTCTAGTGCAGCGTTATACTGTGAGGATCTCAACAGTGACAATTACAAACAGAACTCTTTTTTTCTGAAGGCCAAATGGGAGTCATGGGCTTACAATGAAGACAGTTACCGGAGTGGTAAATTGTACTTCTGAAGTCAAGCCACAGTAACTCTTTTTTTGTTGTTGTTGTTACTAGTAGTAACAGTGAGTTTAAAAGCTGACACTGAATATACATACATAATGCAAGGAATCACATGATTTTCTACTTTTTCATGGAATTCTCTTCATGTCTAGACTCTTTCACACCCTATGTAAATGGATTTTGTTTCTGTGAAGACCTTGAAACACCTATTGTTAGTAAAGGCTACCAAGAATCAATTTAAGGGGGAGATAAAGTCTAGTTTCTTTTCCATACACACCAGGCTCTGAAGAACCCCATGCAGCCAGCCTCTGTTCTATGATCCCACAGCCTTAACAGGCAAAGGGCTCTCCAAACAAGGCTTACCACCAGCTTCTCTGCCAGCCTCTCACTTGAGGCACAGCTTATGGAACACTTCTTCTGTTCCCACACCTCTTGCCAAACAGTGAATTAGTCTAGTGGTGTCTCTCCTGCTGAGATACAGGTGTATAGCACAGTGGCCTCACAGCCCCCATCTATCACCAGAATTAACATCTATCCTTTCTGATAAATCAAGTAGCAGTGCCCTCATCCATCCCCCAAAGCACAGAATCAAGGTTAGCAGCTAGATGCAACCAGCAGCTGTTGACTGACCTCCAATGCAGTGCTCTGACCGCGGCTCAAAGAGATCAAAGGTGGCTGTTGCTCCATCTGGCATTGTGAGGTACTTGCGAAGTCCATACGGATGTGGTGATCTCACTCTCCCCATTTTTCCATAAAGGGCAGTCTGGATATGTCCACTCTTTCCCCAGATCAGGGGTGGAATGTACCTGAAAGAGGCAGTGATATAATTGCTTACCCCTACTGTGTTGTTAAACCTTTGAGAACAGATAAGCACTCTTGTAACAAATCTCCCCTTCACTACCAAATATAGTAACAAATATGAAATTGTTTTTGCTATAACTGAACTGGCAGCACTGATATTTGCAGCCCTTACACAAGAGACTGATATGCTCTGAAAGCTGGCAAGTCAGCACTGATAGCAGCCACAGAAGCTGAAACCCAGACATTCCTCTATCGAAATGTTACATGCACAAATGCTTCTCACCAAATACACTGAGGCCTTGTGCCTCAGTGAGACTGGGACAGCATGTTGCTAGCCAACCAAACTGACCTCCAGAACCTGTACAGTGCTGTAAATCTGTTTTAATTGAAACACTGAAGCCCGCTGGGTTGAGCCACATGAGCTTGTGTAAGCACTTGACTGTACAAGCCAGTGGCAGAAGTGACAGGATTCATAGGAAGCTCTAGAAGGCTGAAAGCCACCAAGACTTGCCAGTTGAGACAATTTTACACAGAACTGCTTTTCTCAGTTAAGTGAGCAACAACAGTACAGGGTGATTTTACCCCTCAAGCAAAGTTCGGTAAAGCTGTGACAGCTTTAGAAAGACCTGTCAAAACTGGCTAAACTCCAACAAATGCTTTCCCTTTACACGTAAGATAGGGGAGTTTACCAATTGTTTGTTTCTCAAGGGCATATTAAAGCTAGGTGACAAAGCAGATCTCTTCCCTTTCCTGGTTTATTGGCCCTCAAAAAACACACAGGGGAAACAATATAGCTATACAGCATTAAAGGCTCAGTTATCAGGTGGTTTTGTTTTGTTTTTTAAGTACAAGCAGAGGGGCAAGTGGTTTAACAGGAAATACACTGTTGCCCACATGGTGGTGGTAGGGCAGTCACTGGGCCACTCTGCAAAGGAGAGACTGAGCCCACGCCTTGAAAAAGATGGTTACATCAGCTCTCAACAGGAAAGCATGAATGATTTATTGTTTAGGAGAAGAGCAGTCCCAGGGGACATGCTTCTAATTAAGGAGCTGTGGTCTCTGCTACACAGAGCATGGTATCCAGAAGAATCTTGAGAGCTCCTGATACCACTCTGGATCCTGAGAGATTTGAAACTCCCTCCCTGCTGTGTTTTTTTAGGGCCTCCTGCAATTGTTCCCTTCAACTTCTTGAGACCACATGAAGCAGAGATCATGTTCTTCCCTGTTCACAGAAAACTAGGCAGCTTGGGACTCAGATTTACTACATAAGCCTGTGAGCCACTAGAACATGACAGAAACCTTGCCTTTGTGCTCTGACACTACCTACTCACACAGCTGGACTTTCTTCCTCATGCCAGCTCTTATGTGTCATATCCACAACTCCCTGTTCTCCCTACACACTCCTCAAAAAAAAAAAAGACATCCTATAAAAGTAAGAACTATCTAGGGTTGTTTGGTAAGAAAAGAGCAGCAGTCCACTCCTCCTCCCTCATCTATGAGCAAGACTCTTACAGTCAAAGCAACACAGCAGTTCATGGTACAGCTTCACTCAGGGTTTGCAAATGCACTTGCCGAAGACACCCAAAATAGATTGCCATATAAGTAGCTATCATTTCAATAAAGGCTGCAAAAGCTGCCAGCTGATGCTTGTAACCTTGTAAATTAGCCCTCAGCACATCTTGGATTTGATCACTCAACTAAAAAGCCTTTCAAAGAATCTATTTGAGGATAGTAGCACCATCTATCTTTTATCAGCCCAGCATCTCTGCACTGGGAGATATGCGCTGCAGGTGGGTCTTGCCGGGAACAATATGCAGCATGCAGAGATTCCCAGAAACGATGGGGACTGCACAAGGTCACCCTCTGTCATTGCTGGTAGAGTTGGAAATTAGTCAGTGGATACAATCTCACAATTCCAAGTAGATATCCATCAGAACAGCACAGTCAATGTAAACATGGCCACACATGAAGAACTACAGATGGTTCTGCTCAAATCACATAGAGCTCACTGCAGAGGGGGTTCTGAACAGCAACTATGATGCCAGATGGAAGAGACAGTGCTCTTCTATCTCAAGAAAAATCAACTAGCCTCACTCCAGTCATTTACTTTACAACCAGTTCAGGTCAGTAGTCATACCCCATACTAGATGGTGCTTGACTGGCTTTTTGTCTTCTTTCACACAAGTCCTTTGCAGATGGGTTTTACTAGCAGCTTTTGAGAAGAGCTGTCAAATACAACCTATAATGAGAGTTTACAGTTCTTTTAGAAGAGACTCAGACATCAACACTGTTGCATGCTTTCTAATCTTAGGTTAAACATATGCATTAGAAAGTTTTGGTAATTCTGCTTCTATACACCACTTTTCAAATCAAAGATTATCCCAGGTAAAATCCAGTGTCTTAGCCCGTAGGGCAAAGAGGAAAGCAATTTCTCCAGCTACAGCAGCTAAGTTATACAGCTGTGACTGATGACTGCTACCACCTTGATAAGGCAAATAAAAATCAAAGATGTCCACAAGCATCAATCCTTTCCTCATGTTTACCTACAGTTCAGTTTCCAGCTGTAAGTTAGTCATCCAGTGGAACAGATGCAGCAGCACATACCACAGGATGTTGTTAGAGAGGAAATTAGAAGTCTTCAAAGCCTCACCACTACTGCCAGAGTTTAAATGAAGATGCATGGCTTGAAGCATACTGCTTACCAAGAGCGTACCACTTACCACAGCCTGCCTCCTCAGGTCGCAGTTGGTTTCTTCAGGGAAAAAAAAATAAATATCTCAAACCCGCCTTCAAATAACCTAACTGGAAGTTACCTGAAGTAGTGATATTCAGTAAGCCAAACCTTTAACCTGCTTTTACATAGGCAAACAGCATACGCAGCGTCATTGATGTGTTCTTCATTAAAGACTAAAACCAAGGCAGGAATCCCTGTGACTCCATTCATAATGATGGACAAACAATGCCCATAGGTTCCATATTTCCCTCAAACCTAAAACTGTGTAACGTCCTATGAACAAGGGTGCATTCACTGCCTGCTCCCTTTAGAGTGCACAGGCTAGTCTTTGAGCATTCTATGGACCAAGCAAGTGAAATGCTCAGCTTATCTTAACTCCAGTCAGTTTAAGCATCCCACTGCCTGCAAAGACGTGCTACAGTTAGTCACACTGCATCTAACGACACTCTTCTAGATAAATATTCAAAGGTCAAGTTCCAGCATGAGTAATGTGCTTAGGACAGTACTCCAATGCAGATTTGTTACTCCCACTTAGTCATACTTAAGCATGTTCAGTATTTCTGCAGTTTGCATTTAAAAATAAAGCAGTTAAAGCTCTAAGATACATGCAAGTGTTAAAGCAGTAGCATGTTATCTATCTTTTTACTACTGCCCATCAGCCTTTAAGCAGTGGGCTTGTGATGAGATAGATATCCTAAAATCCCTTAAGTATCCAGGCTCCAGGAGACTGAACATCACAAGACTTCAAGAGGGAGGGGGAAAGAAGTTGCTCAGATTGTACAGATCTTGCATAAACAGTGGAAAACTAAGACAGATTAAAACTCACTTCACCAGACTGATGCAAAAGCAAGCAGCTATTAAAAATATTAGCCTTTCATTTACCAAGACCAGTCACTAATCTAACCTACTACAAAACCCTATAAAGCCTTGACAGTACAAAGTGATGCCTCTCTGTCATTGCATTCCAGTAAAAGCTGTCCTCAGCTGAGAGCCAAGTTTAACTTTGCAAAGCGTCCTTATAATCTATAGCAGAGTCAGGCATATGATCCGTCAGACTATTTCTGTTGACCATCCATTTTGGCAATGGACAAATCCGTTTTTGAAAGTCTTCCTGTTAAGTGATTTCTATATACATCTTTCTACAAGACAAGCAAGTCTACTTTTAAGAACAAGTACAGTGCATAATAGTGAAAGACTGTACAGGATTAAGGACATCTTTTTGTCCAGGGCTTGTGCAGACTTTCAGATTGCTTTTACTAAAACCATTCAAAGAGGAGAGCATAAAAAGAACACTTCAGTCATGAAGGTGTATGATACCACTCTGGTGAGGTGAAAAAAGCTTGCCAGGAGTTGCAGTTTCTGTGAATCAAAAATAGCTTCCTAGCTTGCTCCAGACCCAAAGGCTTTTCACTGACTCATTTTCTGTTTTGATTTGGTCAGTTGCAATAGGTATCAGGCACTCTGAGTAAAGACAAATATTTGAGGCAGTTAGCTAGGGCTTCCAGTAGCTGGTCCTATAACTTCCAGTAACAAGATTCTGCAACATAAGGCAGACAGGAGAACAGGTCCAGGTACACCAGTTACTTATAAGATGACTTATAAGGCACAAATACAGAGTTCAGTCTTAACTGGCTAAGTGAATTCACAGCCAGTTACAGAAATATGTTCACAAATGCTAACATTTTAGCTCTAAATGTTGTGTTTCAACTGTGCAGAGCAGCCCCACACATCTTGCAAGGTGGCTATCCACAACACTGCCCAAGTACAAGGTGTTTCACAAATATTCTCCTGGCATTTTAATGTTAAAAACATTTCCAACATGTGATTGTAGATTAAGTTTTAGTGGCTCTCAGGCAGCAGATTATAATTTTAGAGCACGTACATTGCCCAGTATGTGGGAATTTAGGAAAGCAGCAGCTGTATAAGCAGCTCACACAAAGCACATAAAAACTGTGCTATTTTTATTAGCAAGCATCAGCATTCAGGTCCTCAAAGATCTGAAGTGGAAGTTCAGCAACAGGCTTATTTCTGGAGCATTACTTAATTTCATTTGAGGAGATTAACACTTTAAACATTAACTCTTACATTACTTCTGATGTGCTGTAGTACACTGGATACTGATGGCAAGAAAGCCGAGCCTACAATTTCTCCATGTCAGGCGACACTCTGAGAACTGCCACCTACATTACAACAGGTGACAGGGGTTTTTCCCCCCCCTTTACAGAGCAGTTATTTAAAGAACACTTTGCAAATCAAACCTTGTCCCTTATTTGATGCTAAGGATGCAATCTGAATTCCAATCAGGAAATGTCATCTATAAGTCTGCAGGGTTCAACCCCCCCAAATATGTAGAAAGCAGCTTTTTCTGCATCAGCTCAGATAGATTGTTCAATGTGATGAAGACAGCAAATATAACAGCAAAAATTTAAAGCAGCTTATGGAACTTCCATGTTCCCTGAGCCTCTGAAAAGAAACAAACGTTAAGTGTTTGCTGCCCATAGAAACTGTATGAAATCAGAACTATTTAAAAGACCAGACTGGCCTCCTGGGTTAAACCACCTCCTTTTCAATTTAGGCAGCTTTTATTTAGTCAACTGCCCATCGCATCCTTCCTCAACCTTCAGTGACTACAAGAAGTATTCTAATCAAAACAGGGCACGACTACTACAGCACATCTTCCTTGCTGATTAGAGCTGGAGAACACAAAGCTGCTGCCAATGCCACAGCAGAGCACCTAGCAAGGACTCGGACCCCCTGAGGCTGCTTCTCTCCCCAAGGTCAATGCTTCAGCTTACAGATAGAAAGCTGCCACTCTTCTCTAGCTCTCAACATGTTCACCTGCCAAAGCTTCAGGAGTAACACTATTCTAATTTATTATTCTCCTGGAAATGTTCATCCCAGGGTAAAACACTAAGTAGTTGACAGGAATCAAACACTGTTTGCTATTAGATGGAAGAACAGAACATTGAAAAGCTTGAAGACAGCTTTTCTGACTACTTGTCTCCTTGCATCCAGGAGAAAGGCAGTGACAGTGCAAAAGTGTCTTCTGGTACCAGGCAGTCTGCTTATCCAGTAGAGGCTACTGTGTAAAGGATAGGAAAGGACCTAGGCTGGATCTTTGACAGTGTTTCCTAATAGGCTTGACAGTCATCTGGCACAGCCTTTGAGGAGCTTGCCTTTAATAATGATAAGCATGCAGACAGGAAGGATAATTATTTTCAATAAGGATGACATTGTGCCACACCTCTACAGGAATAGAGATACACACACATTTCATGGTAGAAGAAATTGGGAACAGCCAAAAAAGATGTCTAGCCCAGTTCAGCAAGCACTGGCCAAATTTGTCCTCATGAATCAAAGAGCCAATGCTTCATTTCTACAGAAATAAGAGAGAAGATGGCAGACTTTCTGTACCAGTTTGAAAGACAGGAAAAGGAGACAGCTGCAGCCAGGGGTTAGGCCCAAGTACTCAAGGGAACCAAGAGCTGTGCTGATTTGTAAGAGCTTCCATGCAAGCAGCAGTTCTTTGAATGAAAAAGGGTCTGATTATACTACTTCACATGGTAAGCCAAAGTACAGAGCTGGATGGGGTAGAGGAAGGGAAATAAAGAGGTAAGAAAATACAAGCTCTAGGAAGACAGAGTCCCTTGCTTACCAGTGTGTGATGGATATGGAGAAAGCTTCTAGCAGTTTAGAGAACTGTAAAAAGCAATACTAACATCTGCAAGAACAAGGTACCTGGCATGCATCCATCTCAGGCAGTTTTACTATTCAAAGCTTTTAAATTATTCATCCACTACCACTTGGCTTACTAAATGACACTACAGTTTCAATGCATTGAATAAGTTCATAGGTGAGGATGGTGCCATGAAGGAGAAATAAAATCCAGAAGTGTTTTGTCCAAGTATTTTTGAACAGCTGCACAGATAGAATAACTTTGCTTGTTTCTGCTTTCCCCCTGCCACCCAGTTTTTTTCCAGTAATATCCTTATCCGTTCCTCCTTTAAGCATAAGGGAGCTGAACAAACCAAGTCTGAAAGCCAGTTTGCAGCTGTACAGAAGAATTGGTCTTATAACAGATCTTATAACAAACCCAGTACTGATATAACAGGGGGGACTGTTGGACTACTTATTTTGCTTTCATGGTAGGATTTGAAAAAAGCTGCTTAATCAGCTTTCCTAACACTCTGAATAATTAGCAAGTAATCAAAGCCTTGCAAGATTTTTTCAGTGGAGTATGGCACAAGCTGTTTTCACATAGCTTTTCGCTAATTAGTTCTACAAACTATTTCATGCATAATTGCAGGAATTTAAATCCATTTTTTCCCCTTTAGTCTCCAGGTGATTTTCATGCCTGAAGACAGCATCTGATTTTTTGTTTTTTTCATTTCTGTATTGAAAAAAGTCTGTGATAACATCACTAGAATAGCAAAAAGAAAAATCACATACACATCTTAGAGCTGTCTTTCCTGCAAACCCTTTCAATTCCCAACAGCAATTATATTCCTGTCTCCCCAGCAGAGGTATGCAGGCAACAGACTGAACAACTATCAACTGACACATTTTGTTCTAGTTTGTTTCAGATGAGTTTATTTCCTGGGGTCATGCAAGCCTTTCAGGCAATGTTCTGCCCAAGAACCATGTGTTGGAAATCACTGCTATGGTTTTCAGAGAAGTTGGCAAGCCTGAGCTGATCCAGAGAAAGTGTGCAATCTTGGGTTGTTTGCTGTTAACACAATACTAGGGTTCTGCAAGCAGCTCTTCAACTCCCACAATTAATGCACAACAGATGTATTGCAATTTTTAGACATGTTCTGCATTTTCACTTCTTTGAGAATGCTTTGTTCTTCAACTGAGTGAAAGGCAAAAACATGCCTCTAATACAGTAGTGCTAGGAGCTTGTGCCATGAGAACAGAGCCAAAATAAGAGTAAAATGGACTCTGAATTAGCTTACAATCTGTTTTTGAAGATTAGCCTGATGCTAATATGCCTTCAAGACTGGTAATCAGCACAGCTTCAAGCTCACTCTCTCCATGAGTAGGGACATGCCAATCTGGAGTGCCAATGCTGGGATGACAAGTGTAAGATACACTAAGGAGGTTCTAGTTACTTGGTATTTTTTAGGGAAGCAACTGCTTTGCAGTTAAGGCACTAGCCATAATCGAGAATCCAATTTCAATGCTCAGCTTCAACATACACTTACGTTACTAACAAACTCTTGAGTGCGTCAGGGAACCCTCTTTGGGCTCCTATTTCAAATGGATAATGCTTTATTTTCTCTAAGAGTTTAAAGACCCTATGGCCTAAGATCTTACACCATATGTAATCAAGGCACCTAACAGCACCACTAAAAGCCTCTCATCTCCCCTAGAATGACTATCATTAAGTCAGCTTGACTTTTGAGCTCTGAAAAGGAAGGTTCATGCAACTGTACTCAGCGCTTACTAGATAATTGATGTATTGAGGGCTTCTAAATAAGACTTGCAAGTTTTTCAAAGTGATCACAGAAGAGAAATACTGTAATCAAAGTCCTTGTCCCTCAAAAACCTCATGAAATTGTAGCAAATGTTTCATATTATTGATGAAGGTAAGGGCAGCTGCACTGATTCTGGAGGTCCTAGGATGGGAAGGCAAGGATCAGCCTGCTCAAATAGATAGCTGACATAAGGTCAATTTGAAAGTGGATTCAACAGGCTTAGAGCTGGCCAGTATGTCACTACTGTATTAAACTAGTTATGATGTGCTCTACCCAGTAATAGATTTCATTAGTCTTCAAACAACTTAAGGCACTTCAAGTAAGAGTGGGCACTTTAAAACTAATAGCCATCCCTGTCTTCATTTTAAGTGCACTGACACATCATGAAAACGTTTCTTTCCTGTGATCCCTGACACATTTCTTCCTAATCTAAAGGAGATTACATGAACAGGAACTGCTGACTGTATCCATCCATCTCACCTCATTATATAGATAGTGGGCTATATAGTGCCAATATAGTACAATATTAGTATATAGATACTATATCGAAGGGCAGGGATGACTTTCCACACATTCATGGGGAGCCCCACACAAGAAGACTTGGACCTAAACCCAGGTACTTGGGACACTAACAATAATGAAATACTTCACTTGCAATATGTTTATTTTCCCAAGAGAATACCTTGACATTCATTTGCACTCAGGTTTAAGAAACACTAGGCAGAAGAGTGGTTACGTGCAGCTCTTCTCCCTCTTACAGAGGTCAACATGGAAAAAAATATACTACTTACTCTTTGGTCAAAAGTGGGCAGGATTTGAGTAGAAAGCGGGCCAAAGCAGAGTCCTGGTAAATGAGCTCAGGAGGGGCAGTTGGGCTTTTTAAATTCAAGCAGCGAACAATAACATACAGAACAGCAGCAACTGCAGCTAGCTTCACCCCATCAAACACCGCCGGCAGCTCAGGGGTTTCCAACATTGCACTCATTTTGAACCTGGAAATAAAAAACAGTATTAAAGCTTTTTGCAATATACTGTTGGATATAAATATCAATGGCCATGTTAAACATAACACTGTGCTAATGAACTTTGTCAGTTCACACCGCTACAAGTCTTTGCATATCAACTCAGACTAGCAACTTTTAAGGTGGAAGGAAGTTTATTTTGTACTGCTCTAAAAACCCTGACCACCACAAGAACTAGAAACTGGATGATCAGTTGGAAAGGAGATTTATGTCTAATCAGTGCTCCACTAGAATTGCAACAGCGTCTCAGGTGTCAGACCCTAGAGCCTGCAGACAGTCAATACTTTCAGGATCTCGGCCAAGACAATCAGGCTCAAATAGAAGCTGAGTGAAAAGCCAGGCTATAAAGACACATCAGCAGCTTTGGATGTGTGTTTTCTTCCCAGATGTACAAGCCAGGCTTGAAAAGGAGAACTTGAAAGAACTACTGTGTTAGCTCCTCAGCCTGAATTTTGCAAATGGTACTAACTCCTGAGTGTATTTACGGTCGTTGCTTTATGTACTAGTGAGTTCGGCATTTCTTTTAATTTGCTGTAGTTCAGCAGCTGAAGGAAGAGGACTAGATTACTATCTAGTCTTTCAAGGGCTTCAGAGTAAAGGAAGTGGGGCAGGGGAAAGAATTAAAACCCCACAATATAACAGTATCCTTCCAGTTTAAAATCAAATTTTTAAACTGACCCTTTTTTTTTTTTGAACATATGGTTCAAATAGCTGGTTGCAGTTATTACAGGGACATTTCATCCATATTGAAGGTACAGGTTTTTGCCTGGGTCTTTCCTCAGTCACATTGTTAACCCAAGTAAGATAGCAACTGACAAGTCAAATCTTACCAGTGTCACTTTTCCGTCCAACTAGAAATAACTGCCAGTCCTCAGTAGATCTGTCACTATCTGGATCCACACACTTCCTGAGTTACCCTGTGAAGTGAGGAAAAGCAAATGGATTATTACTGATAAGGCTGCATCTCTCGGCTGGAAAGGAAGAACACAAATTTATACAGGTCCCATCGCAGATACTGCAATTGATTTGTGTATTCACTCATAACCACTTCAACCCTGATCCACCTGCATCAAACCTCTTACCTATGGACAAGTTCCAGACTAGATCAGTTGCCTACAGTATATTAATTCATCTACAGTATGCAAATACACCTTCATGAGTAGAGCTAGACAGACAGCAATAATGAAAACCAGTGCAACTTCAGAGCAAAGCCAAGCAATGAGTTTCCACGTTATCACCTTCGCAAGACAGTGACATTGTCCCATTACAAAAACTACCCAAAAACCTTTATATTTAAAAGGCTAGAAGTAGCAGGCTACTGTTCTTCTCCACGTCATGCAATATCCACACTGTTACTGAAGTGTGAAGCCAGCCTGTAAGAAGTTTCCTGCTACTTTTACTCAGGCTTAGCAAAGCAGCTCACTCCTACAGATGGAAGCTTGTGAACAGTCTCTGCTTGTTCCCACACTTGCTTTTTTGAGAAGTTACAACATATCACACTTCAACAAGATGGTGAGAGCCACCAGGAGGCTCAGATACAGCCACCTAATTAACACTAGTGCACATGCACCAAAGCTTGTTACAAGAATTGATGATGCCAATAAAAGAAAAAGCTTTCAGCCTGTAAAAATGTAAGTGATATTTACAGCTAGAACTGGATTCCCTACAGGCACAACAAAGCCATAGGGAATCAGAGCTTCCAGGAAAAAGCTCCAGAACTGTCTGCTCTCTACCACAGCTACTGCTTCCAACTCAACACACACCAACAGGACAGGCCATACCAAAGCCTTGCTCTTCTTCCTAGCAGGAAAACAAAACCTCAGAAGTACTTTCTGTACTCAGTGCAGCTACACCAAAATCCTTTGGGAGAAAACAAGTCTGACATCAGCTATTGATTAACAGTGTGCTGGAAAGCTGCAAGCTTCTGCCACCATAACCATCCAAGTTGCAGGAGAACAGAGGGTGAGGAGAGCAGAAATATTTAATATTTGGTAACTCTGAAGCTTTTATTTTCCAATTCTGAGCTTCACAGAGAAAGGAAGAGAGGAATGGACTACAGAAAGCCATTTACTCTTCTGAACCGAAGATTACATTGCCATCATGTGTCTCAATGAAGGGTTCAACTACAACGTTAAGCTGTAATATGCTACCTCAGTTCCATACTTAGTTGGTGAAGCAGACTTTCACCAACACTACCAACTGTGTAAAAGACAACAGGCAAACTACAGCAACAGCTTCTCCAGGGAAGATACAATCAGTAGAAGAGCAGACCAAGCTCCTGACAATCACTGACTCAAGGACAACCAGGTGGTTGAGCAAATTTTCCCAGCTGAAACTCCCAGAAGTTCTGTTGGCATCTTCTTTTCACTGTTTTATTTAGAAAATTAAATAACACTGAGACAAAAATTACCCAAGATTTTCCTGCCACCTGGATTTTAAACTAGTTTGCTCTTTACAGCTTTCACATTATTAGTGAATTTTAAAAATAAAACTGGGCATAATTAGTCATTAGCGTTTTGTACTAGAGACTCAATATAACTGAGCCAACTAAGCTGTATCGCCCTGACAGTCTTCTCTCCCACATAATCTTCACATTACAAACATACCACAGCTTTTCTGATACTTCTACATCTCATTTTAGCCTGTTAGCACTTTAAAGCTTACTAGCTTGGAGTTACTTTCAGAAAAAAATCAGCTGTTGGTAGGCAGGATTATGCTCTGACCCTTGTAAACTAGTATTCTTCCATTTTAGACAGTCTAAATATACATTCACTGAGCATACACACCTCAAACATGCTAGCAGTTCATGTATTTGTCAGGATCTTTACTTAAAAGCTCAGCTCAGTCTGTGTACAGCAAACATGAAACTGGCACTGTTGTTGCAGTTGCACAGCTCTCCACAGTGAGTAACTAAGCAATGGATCTAAGTCCAAGAAAACTGGACTGGTAAACTCCACAGCCTGTGGATGCACCTGTGGCACTTCAGGTACTCCCTTAAGAATCTGTTATTTCTGAAGACCTAAACAGACCAGTCTCATCCAGGGCAGATTTAAAAGGTCCCTTAGGCGTGGCAGGTGGGTGACGATGGGCACAGCAGGGTATTGGATTGTTGCATACCCATCACTACTGTGCTTCTCTTAGATTAATAAAGAATGAATTTTGATAAAACCAAGTGACTCTTACTATAATACCATTGATATAGCATGTAACAATTATAGTAATGATGATATGCAGTGGCAGGGTTACATAGAAATTAACATAATACAACTTTTTTGGTTATTCTCACCTAAAATCAAGTCGTCTTGAGATACACGTGGTATTTCCCCATCCTTCCACATCACCCACCAAGTGCATCCAGGTCCCAGAGCAAAAGCAATCCCAGAAATGGGTTTGCCTTTGCCTGAGGCAGGAGGAACTCAGACTGCTTTCCTCAGCATATTTGCTTAGTACATGAACTTTATCCCCTTCTACAGTAGGTAGAAGTTGTGATTAAGCAGGGTCAGGTCAACTGACAGATCCGATCCTCTAGCACTGACTAATCAGATGGCTTTTGCTGAACATGTATCCCAGTGTCTGAAGGTCCCACCACTCATTGCTCTCAATGTAGTCTTTAACACTTCACTGTATCATTTGACTTTCCCCAAGGCTGGTGCATGATAGGGGATGTACTATACCCACTCAATGCCATGCTCTTTGGCTCAGGTGTCTATGAGGTTGTATCAGAAGTGAGTTCCAGTGTCTGACTGGATTCTTTCTGGGGTGCCATACCACCCTAAGGCTTGCTTTTCAAGGTCCAGGACAGTGTTCTGGGCAGTAGCATGGGGCACAGTACATGTTTCCAGTCACCCAGTGGTGGCTTACACCACTGTAAGCACATGGCGCTTGCCTTGGCAAGTTCATGGGAGTGTGGTATAGTCAGTAAAACTGTTAAACCTGTGCAGGTCACCAACAAAACCTTTAAAAGGTCCCTTCTCACCCCAAAGCATTCTATGATTTGAGAGCTCTGCCTCTAATCACATAGGACAAATGCCTCTCTATTTACGAGCAGGGATGAGGTCACCTTGCTTCTGTTTTGTTAAACCCTCTTTGCATTGACCCAATAAACTTGTCTGTTTACAAAAAAAGACAGATAAGCAGTGTTGAGCCAGTCAAATTTTAATCTAGAATCTCCCCTAAATGGGTCAGCATTAATACAAACAGACAAACATTTGGCCTCTTCTGAACACAGAACACTAGATTTACTTCTAGCAGTCTAGAAAAGAAAATTAGCAAGAGGCACTAAGTATATCACTGGAAGCAAGCAAGCCTGCCTTTTCATCCTTCACAGGGTTGGAGATCCCTGTTGAGGAACACAAAGAAGTTGAAGCTCTTGGCACCAAGGACATTATTCTGAAGCACCTTAAGCGTACAATAGGCATGACAGCCCCAAAGACTGACAGGCTGACTTTTCAAGCAATAGTCTTAAGTCCCATTTGTGACTGAGGACTAACTTTAAACTCAATCTCTGGAAAGCAAGTGCTGAATTTGTGGAGTCTTTTCATTTGCCCTTTCATCACAGAATAAAAAGCTAAAAATCATGTTAAGGGAAACACTTAAACATTACTGTTGGAATGCATCTCACCCATACAAGTATATTGAGGAAAAAACCCCAAACGTCTCCCCTTTCCAGACAGGAATAGGAACAAGTACAACAAAAGCCAGCAGAGCTACAGCAAATTCCTTATCTATCCTTTCAAAGACACTGGGTTTTGAGAAAGTAAATATCTTGATGGCTTTCTCAAGCAGGTACTACAAATCTGTGACCTGTATACATTTCTGTTCTAGGCTTTCTGGGGAGAAAAGATTCTTCCAGGGACAGAAGTCACTCCATCTGTGACTCAACAGGGCACACACGGGATTTGGTAATAACCAAGCATTACAAGTCCTCCACCCATGCTGAAGCTGAGCCTGACTATATACTGGAAAGCCAACATTAAAGAAGCAAAGACATTAAGAAAGCCAATCCCATAGGGTCCTTCCCTCAGGCATTTAATGAGCAACTGAAAGCCTGGCAGGCTCACTTCACTGAAGCATTAGAAATGCTTCGGGCTAAAGCAAAGATGCAGCTGTATGGAACTGCCCACAGACAAGAGTAAAGGCAGATTCTTTAAAGGGGCTCCACTAGCAAGATATTTTATGCTCCATTACATTCACTGGAGAATCCCATTTCTAAGACTGGCAGTTTGATACAAAACTCTCCTAGATGCCTTCCCATCAGCCAGCCTTCTGACTCACTAGTGCTTTCAGAGCTCAGCTGGACACCACCACACTGGCACATGCCTGGCCAACACTGAAAGTCATAAAAAAATTCCCTTTCCTATCCTTTTACAGCTTCTAGCAAGTCATGTAATACCCTCCCTTCCCCACTAAGACTCAGAAGAGACAGAGATGCTGTTTCTAGACAAATTAAGCAGACAACATTTGTTAACTAATTTATCAGACATTTCTTGGACTGGTTTCCTTTATTTGTAGTGCCTGCTTGGGGAATAAAACTCTGAAAGCAAGTCTGCTAGACAAGAGGAAAGCAAAACACCCTGCTTCAAAGAGCTGTGCCTAGGAAGATTCTGATCAGAACTAAGGGGGGTGTGTGTCCCCCAAAGGGGGAAGAAGGAAGGCTGTTTTCACTGAAGTTAGTTTTTCAGAGAAGGTTTCTAGAAAATTAATCCTCTTTAATATCAGCCAAAGCTAACGGTTTTTCTGAAAGATACACCACAAAACCAGAAGTTACAGGCCTATCACTACCAGGTAAGATATTTAGAACCACATTATGGAAAAGAAGTGAACTTTATTAAGGAAAGGATGGAAAGTCAGAGCACTACAAAGTTTTTTTAAAAAAAACCAGGTTTTACACCAGCATACTATTCGAATTTCACTCCAG